AAACAAAACACCCTTCTTCCTTTCCCTCCTATTGCCCTCCCTGTTTGAAAAAGAAGGAAAAACAAAACCTCTTTTACAAACATGTAGTTAAGCAGAACAAATTTATGCATTGGCATGCCCCCCCAAAGTGTCTTATTCTGCATTCTATTAATAATAGCTAAGATTTATAAAGTACTTACTATGTGCCAGGCTCTGTGCTAAACTCATTTGATCCTTACAACAACCCTAGGAGTAGGTGCTATTATCCCCAATTTACAGGTGCAGAAACTGAAGCAAACAGAGGTTAAGTGACTTACTTACCTAAGGTTACACAGCTATCTGAGTTTCTAAGGCCAGATTTCAACTCAAATCTTCATAACTCCAGGCCTAGCATTCTATCCACTGTACCACCTAGCTGCCCCTCCCTGATGAGTCCTTTCCTTCTAGCGTATTTCATCATGAGTCCTCTGAAATTATGCTTGGTAATTGCATTGATCAGAGTTACTGAGTCTTTCAAAGTTGCCTTTATAATATTGTTACTGTACCAATTGTTCTCCTACTTTTGCTTGCTTCAAGTCTTCCCAAATTTCTCTGAAACTATTTCCTTCATCATTTCTTACAGCACAATTGTATTTTATAACATTCATATATCATAATTTGCTTGGTCATTCCCAAATTGATGGACACACCCTCCATTTCCAATTCTTAGCCACCACAAAAGGAGATGCTATAAATGTTTTTTTATATCTTTAGTTAAAGTTTATTTTTCTTAGGACTAGTCTTTCCCTTAATCTACCCTGCCTCTTATTCTCCCCTCTCCTTTCTCCCTTTTCCCTGTTAAGTGAAATGTATTTCTATACCAAACTGTGTGTGTATTCTTCCATTCTTTTTCTAGTTTAGATTTGTGTCAGTGATCCTTCTCCCCCCACTTTCCTCATTTCTTATACAGACTTCTACTTGCATACCCTGATTATGTGAGATAATTTCCTCTAACCTTTCTCTTCCATTCTTCCTTTGTGTATTTCTCTTCCCCTCTCATTCCTTTCTTCTTTTAAGATTATTAAACAGAACTATTTCAAAGTCCTTTGTCTAATTAGACTCCTTCTATGACTCCTGATGATGATGGTACATATAATTATTTCCTCATGTTAGAATGTAAACAGTTTGTCCTTTTTTAGTCCTTTATGATTGTTTGCTCATGTTTACCTTTTTATGGTTCTTTTGACTCCTGTGTCTGTACTTCAAAGTTTCTTTGAAGCTCTGGTCTTTTCATCAGGAATGCTTTGAATTCCTCTATTTCATTAAAGATCTATTTTTTGCCCCATAAGATTATACTTAGATTTTTTGGGGTAAATTATTCCTGGTATATTTTATATCCTTTGCCTTCTAAAATATCATATTTCAAGGTCTCTATTTCTTTTATATAGTGGCTGCCAAATCATTTGTGATCCTGACTGTGGCTCCTTAGAACTCAAATTCTTTCTTTCTGGCTACTTGCAGTATTTGTTTTTTGACCTAGAAGCTCTGAATTTTGGTTATAATGTTTCTAGGAGTTTTCATTTTGGGGTTTCTTCTAAGAGGTGACAAGTAGATTTCTTTCTATTTATACTTTGCTCTTTGGTTCTAAGCGGTCTAGATAGTTTTCTTTTACTATTGCTTAAAAATGGATGTCTAGGTTCTTTTTTGGTCATGGCTTTCAGGTAGTCCAATGATTCTTAAATTATCTCATTTCAATCTGCTTTTAGGTCAGTTGCTTTCTTCTACTTTTTTTTCAATCTTTTAACTTTGTTTTGAATATTTCTCTTAATCTCACAGAATCATTTTCTACTTGGTCCATTCTAATTTTCAGGAAGTTTGTTGTGTAGACACTTATTGTGCCATGCTATTAATTCTATTTCCAATTATTTCTTCCATTACTCTCATTTTTCCCCTTTCATGCTTTTGTTTCATTTGTTAAAAAAAATATTTTGGAACTTTAAAAAGCTCTTGTTTTATCTTTTCTAGGAATTTTAGTTGAAATAGTGAACAATCTGTGTTTTTCTTTGAAGCTTTGCTTGTGGATATTTTAGACTCATTCTCTTCTTCTGAGTTTGTGTCTTGAATACTGTCACCATAGAAACTTTTTATGGTGGCATTCCTTTTTTGTTTTGCTCACTCTTCCAGACTATTTCCTGGCATCAGGCTTCATATTGGAGGCAGGTTCTGTGCACTTCTGGAGAGAATATTTGGGCTGGTCTTGCTACTGCTTTCTTGGGCTATTAAGTATTATATTAATCCAGGATCTCAGGGATAGCTCAGGCTGAGGACCTGCTAACTTCCAGTGTTCCCAAAGTGGTCTGATCCAGGCCAAAGTTTGATAGCAGCACCTCTGGTCTAAATCAAGTTAGAGGTGAACAACACACCTATAGACTTGCCCCATTTGGAGTTCCAGTGGACTGCTGCTGGATTCATCCACTATCAGGTAGTTGAAAACTTCTGCTGGTCCAGAGTAACAGAAATGAAGGCTACCCTTTGGTCTGAGATTCCTACCCTGATCATTCTGCTGCAAGCTTTAGAGAAAGCTAGAAGCTAGAACTGAGATCATACTCCACTCCTGGGGTTAGAGCCATGTAGCTGTTACTTGCTTCTAAACTGGCTCCCTGCTCAGTCCACAGCCTTGAGCCTGTGACTACTCCTTACTCTAGAATGCCACCCCTAGTTGCAGGTCCCTTCCTCAATCACTCCTAAATAAATAACCTGGAAATGGGTAGTGATAGATTTGCTAATTGGCACCTGTTTCTGTACCCTGCAAAAGGTTAGACCTCTCTGGAGGGATATGTGACCCCTTCTTGCCTCTGCCTGTACTGGAATGCTCTGTAAACTTTCCTGCCTAGACACCATCCCCAGTGTCCATAAACCTCTCTGCCTTTCTCTCTTTGCTGATATGAGTTAGAAAAATGACTAATTGTGGTATTTTTTCATGGATTTCCCAATCAGGACTTGGTCTGGTGTGTTTTCTAGATCTTTGTGGAGCTGTATGTGGAGAGTGAGGGTAGGAGAGCATAGCTGGACTTTGTTCTGCTGCTCTGCCTTCTTGGCTTTGGTACCCTTTGGTTCTATTAGATCTGGACAGTTTTCATTTATGATTTCTTAAAGTGTCAATTTTTTTTTAATTATGTTTTTCAGGGAATTCAATTATTTTTTAATGATTTCTCCTTGACCTATTTCTCAAGTCAGTTGTTTTTTAAAAAACATCTATTAGTTCTATTTTTTTAATTAAAAATTCCCCCACCCCCGATACTTCTGTCTCATGAAGTCATTGATTTCTGTTGCTCTATTCTAGCTTTGAGGGTATCCCTCACTGGGTGAATTTTACCACTTTCTCTCTTAAAGCTATTTATTCTCCTTCCAATTGTTTCCTCTAGAGATTTTATTTCATTTTTTCCCTCTTGCTTCATTTCTTGTAGATATTCATGTAGTCCTTGTGAAAAATTAATTTATCTTTCCCTTTACGGTTCTGCTTGTTGTTACAGTTAGTTACTTATTCTTTCTTTTAAGGGATCTCTAGAGCAACAATATTATTTTTATACCTGTTGTTGTTTTCTTTGATTTACTCATTTCTCTTTGGGCCTGGGCCTTGTTATGTCCTCTGCTATGCTTTTGGGTGGTGTGGTTGGCCCTGCTTGGTCTTACTCCTGATCACCTGGTTTCTATGCTGATGCCCACCTTCCAGGATTAGCCATTCCTGGATCTTTGAAGTTCAGAGCACTAGCTATTTAAGACTCCCTCTGATGCCTCAGGACAGTGTTAGGGATCTCAGAGCCTCTGAGCCTGGGGTGTCCCATACTGAGCACTGCCTTTCCACACTGGTCACTGCTCTCCCTAGGGGCTTAAAAGGTCCTTACCCTGGGGATTTCAGAGTACCCTAGGGCTTCCTCAGGGGAGCCCTGTGCTTCTGCTGCCTCTAGATACAGAGTTCAGTAGGCTATATGCATCTCTGGCCTATCTTTGGCCGTGCTGGAGGACTGCTGGTTTGTGCTATTGCTAGCTTTGCTGGTAACTTTTTCTTGTTGACCTTGGGCTTATGGTTGATGGGCTTATGTCTCGTAGAGTTTTGGGGTGGAAGAAATCACTTGCTCTAGTTTCTCTTTGGATTCTTGTTCATTATTCAGTCTGGTGAGAACTTGAAGGTTTTTCTGGAGTGGGTATTTTGGATCTGGGCAAAGCTTCAAAGAAAAACACAGATTGTTCACTATTTCAGCTAAAATTCCTGGAAGAGATAAAATAAGAGCTTTGCCTCTCCTTCCACAGCCATCTTGGACACATACTTTCTCTTTGATTTGCTTATGGCACTGGAGACAGTGGTTTGCACATAAGTAATCATTAAATAAATGTTTATTGATTGAACAAATATAGGAGAGAAAAAAAGATGGCTGGACTTTATGGATTTATCCTTTTTACAATTAATTTAGATCTTTTAAGGTCCCTTCTAGCTCTAAGACCTTGTAATGTTTTTTCTAATGTTCAGGAGAACAGTCGATAGGAGCTGTTCTCATATTGGAGGGGATTGGCATTTTGTCATTGTCATTGGCATGATAGGATTGATCTGCTTCTGTTCCTGCCACCCCTTTTTCCTGTGTGCTCAAGAGCCGTTACGTTGTTGGCGGTGGTGGCAGTGGTGGTTCATTTTCAGGAGTAACACCCAAAGCAACCACCGAACAGAAGAACCAGGAAGAATTAGACTCTTACTTCCATGGTAGCTTCCTGCCAGTGTGTTTACAATGTGAGGTCAATAGCCAACACATCTTACGTGGGTGCTGTCA